GCATAAATAGATTTTTTTTCCAATGCTAAGCAATTTACATTCTAAAACCTCTCATAATTCAAAGGAGTTGAATAATTATAGATTCTATTCCCTACACACACACACACATATCAGACAATAGAAATACCAATTAAAATAAACAAATCCTTTTTCTGCAACTTGAGCTAATATATTCTTTCTCCCCACCCACATTTCTTTTTCTTTATACAGATTCAGCTCGCTCTCTCCTCTCTCTCTCAAGTAAGTGTGTGCGAGTATGTGTGTGTGAAGGAGAGAGAGAGAGAGAGGGAGGGAGGGAGGGAGAGAATGGAACATAATACATCAGCCTTTATTTTTATTTTATACAGTATACAATAGTATACTCATCATGAGTTGAATGATCCATAAAGCTACATCTGAATACAATACTGTAATTGGACATTGTAATTTGTGTTCATCCTAACTGGACACTATTCCAAACCCAGTCTCTGAAATCAGGATTATATTGCACTGACCAGTGCCAATATTTTACCCTTAATACCAGCTAACAAGATATCTGTGCCAGACCTCTGGTATAATAAATAACTGAGCAGCTGAAACTGAATCTAGAAAGAACCTCAAATAGCCCATCAATGTGCTATTTTATAGGTAACATTAACAGGGTCATGATTAGCCATTTCCTGTGAATGATTAAAGAACCAAATTCTTTCAAAATCCTTGAAAGATGTGTTCTGGTTGAGCCTTGTGACACCTCTTTCAAAATTGTTCTCAAACAGAACAAGTGCCCAGAGGACTGAAGGTTACCGATATATCACAAATCACCTTATTTCATCCTAGGAGGGAAAAAATAATTATATCTGCAAAAAGTGATATGAGCCACATTTTAGATATAATACCCAATTATCCATTTCATTTTCATTTATACATGCTGGGTAAGATCATTTATCATGTTTCATGAGAATGACTAGGAAGCACACACAACCAATTTGGATAGGTAGCAAATTACTTACCATATTAACATAGGTTTATAAGATCACATCAACAAGTGTTGTGCATAAATGAGATAATTACATTTACAATGAGCAGAAATATTTTAGATGCAGAAATAATGGTCTCCTAATTGAACATCCTGGTTTGTTTTCTTAAGTATAGTAATTTAGATCCAGCAATCAAGATTGACTGCTGCTGGAACACCAGCCAGGTGTTACTGCACGGCTCTGAATCTAGAGATGAATCTTTTATCATCAAGTCTTCCTTCTCGCCACCAAGTCATCCATCATGTTTCTGAGACAGCTTGGAATGATAGTGCTGGACCTTCACATTACTGCTCCTTGAACTCCATCTCATCCATCTTTTGCATCATGCCTGATTTGCAGCAAAGTATCATCTCCCTGCTGCAAAACCAAGTGTGAACCCAATCATGCCTCTAACCTAGAGTGCCACTCTAATAGTAATTGATTTTTTAGAGCTACACTCAGAACGTGGAAATCCCATCTTTGGGAATTCATAAAGAGAGATGATAAAAAATGCAATTGCTTCAGAGAACTCAAATCTATTTATTTATTTGCTTCTTTTCTTTAAATATAAATGTTACTGGTGTTTGTTTTGCATTAGTCCCAGATATACCCACATATGGAAAATTGCAAATATTCTGTGTATATAGACACACAGTGTTTTTTTTAGAATACTTCAAATTAAATAGAATACCTTTAGACATTTAAATTAATATATTTAATATGTATTCACCCTGTGCACCAAAAGTGGAACTTATTATTAACCCCTAGTTCATCATTCAAATAAAGCCTGTTTCAAAATCTCCACTGACAATAAACCATTCAAGATTAAGTATAGTAATTAAGTTTCATCTGAATACAGCTATAAAAATTTAATAAATCAAAATGATCAAAATGCCCCAGTGGCAGATTGGAATTCTGTTTCCAATTCCAATTCTCTTTAATACATGGCTTCACTGACATCTTGCATTTTCTCATATCTAGGCTGAATTCCAAATGGTTTCTGCTTTCTGCTGTTACCAAGCACTGGGCAACCAATCAAGTTATCCAATCTCTTTTCAGCAATCCAGCACAACCCTTGAGAGATGTCAGAGTTGGTAGATTTTTCTCTTGTACTCATCAGTGAATGGCAGACAAGAATCAAATATTATGAAAATCTCCCTTCTGAACTCATTAGAACAGAATATTCTGATTCTATATTTCTGCCCAAGGATTTCTTTTTATACAATATTAACAAAAGAAAAGTCTTTGAAGGGCTAATTAAGAGCTGCATCCTATTTTGAGATGAATCCAGGATTTCTGATTTTAAAACATCTAATAAACATAGCATATTTTCCTGCCCAATACATACAGCCTGAGCAGAGTATTAATACAGCCAGCATGCCAGTCTATCTAAAAAAAGAACCTTTTCATGAAAACCTTCAATAAGGACGTATCTATTTTAGATTTTAATATAATATCTGGGATAATGAACTCAAAAATATGTCTACCATCAGGTCACTGTGGATGACAAAATTCTTTCTGCAGTTGACTAAATGTGCACAATGCACTGCACAAACCAGCATCCAAACTCTTTTTAACTCTAGAAAAGACAAGAAACTGAGCCTGAGATAATGAATTCTTGATTTGGGAGAATTATTAAAGTAATCTCTCCATTTGGGAATTATTTTCATGAACAAAAAAATAAGATCGAACTGAGTAGAAATAGTTTTATTATTAATATCCTTCCCAGATGTTATTGCAATTCCTGTGAATAATTACTAGTCTATATGCTACTATCACAGAGCATTTGGAAGGAGACCATCCATCTTTTGATTCATTTAGAAATATGTTTACTATGATACATTGTGAATATCAAAATAGAGGAAGTAGACCCAGACTCATAGATCTGAATTAGATATATGTAATTGTTCCTAGAGTCTATCTTCTGCTACTTGACTAAACAATGACAGTGACAGATAATGAACAGGAACACTTAAAGGGAAATGTCTCCTTAAGTAAAGGAGTAAATAAATAAAACACAAATTCAATTTTATATTTTTCCCTTTTACAAACTCAGCAAATATAAATAATTTGAATTACTCATATGGCATAATATTTGATGTTTTCTTCACAGACATTAGAATTGATAGAAATAATACAGCCCCTATTCCTCAACATTTCCATGCTTTTCCAAAACCATTAGCATCTGTTCCTAAAAGCTGTAAATAAAAAAATTAAAAGGATTAATTTTTAAATAAAACCTGTATTTATTTCAAAATTGATCCTTTTTTAAATTAAAAATGTAAATACATGCTGTTTTTATTTAAAAATTAGTTTTATAAAAATAGTGCTTAAAATGTAATAAATAATATGAAAATATGAAAAAAATAAAAATTTGTAAATAAGTAAAGAAATATTAGGAGTCCCTTTCAATCATATGTTTTACTAATAACAAAAAATTCTCCTAAGGAAAGAAGGTATCTGGCACTGGTTCATCAATGTTCAAGAATATAATCCATAATCTGTACCACTGTTTTACTCACAGGGCACATTTTTAGGAAACATATCAGAGAGAGACCAAGCATGCAGTAATAGTTAATGGCTGGGACTACTAGGGGGAGGGCCAGGTTCCAGGCCACCATCAACCATGCGTTTCATTGAATGACTTTGGACCAGTCACTTTCTCTCTCTCTCTTAGCTTATCCTACTTCAACAGTAGTCTATCCTTTATACTGTAAGGATGAAATTAATGGAGATCCTCCTGTAAGCTCCCTTGTGTTCCAGGAGGTATAGCAGACTAAAAATTCAATAAATCAGTTCAACTATGAAGGTGCAGCTTCCTATAGCATTTGACAACTGTCTTAAAACAATAAAAATGACATAATTTGATGTGTACTGTTATCCATGAAACTAAGGTTTGATTTTTACTGCACCATTTTCTGATGGACTTCATTTACCCTGTTCATTTTCCAACTTTCTGCTGGCTTACCAATATTAAGTGTTAAACTACATGTTCTGACCATATATTCCTGGCAATAGAACTGAGCCAATTTTAATCTAGTTTATCAACAGCCGGTCTTATTCATCTCACATTGATTAAAGCCTAGAAGTGTCAATGTTTGTCTTCTACAAGTTGAAGATAGTCTCATTAGTCAAAATGATATAGAAGCAATACTCAAGATATGACAAAATAAATTGCATTTCATCGTATCATGTTTTTTCCCCCCTACAGTTAAGGCTCAGATAGATCAAGATTCGTCAGTATGAGAAATTCAGCACTGAAATTTTTGTTTGTTCCAAATAGCAATAGAAAGTCCTTAAGCATGCCCTGTCACTTTGGGTTTAGAAAGGAATGCACTAATAAACTCTTACCCCCGGTCATTTTTGACTATGGGCAACATTATGCCAGCTTTTATTAAAGGCAATTCATATCACTGGCCCAAAAATTTCCTTTAAAATTACCATCTTTTGTGTCCATAGAATACGACATTGGCGTTAAAGTGCCATTAAGATATAGGTCCTGTCATTGTAGTTAATTTTCAGCACAGTTTTAACACTGGAGAAGCTTTCTCCCCAGGGTATGTTTTTGACTAATGAGGCTTGTTTGATGGTTAACGAAACAAACAAGAAGAAAACACTTTCACTGGGTATTGCTTTTGAAATAATATAGTAAGCATAGCACTCTATATCCTCCAGCTATGAACTCATACTCCCAGGATTTTAGATACAACTTTTAAAATAAAGGGTACATCTAGCAATTTCATTAATTTTAATCAACAACCCAATGTAAGAATCATCTATATAACTGCGAGGTTTATAATAGTGTGATTTACTAGTCCACTAGTAAAGGTAGTTGGTAGTCTTTGGGTCCATTGCTCTGTCTCAGCCCAACCCAACCTATTTTTGGAGGGTTGGTTGTGGAGAAAAGTGAGAGGAGTTGTTTTGAGCTTCTGATGGAATATCAATCAAATAAATTAATAGTAAAATATAAAGGGATCATGTCTGAGACAGCTAAGAAACCCTTACCTCGAACAATAAGTTGAGCAAAGTTGGAAACGCCAGATCCTCTCTCAGATTGAGTAACACAACGATATAAATCCTGATCTGTTTTTGTTACTTCCTGAAGTTTAAAGGTAGCAGCAAAACGTCTGTGATTTATGTTTTTTGTTTGGGCCACTGGAATATCTTCTCCATTGCGTCTCTGAAAACAATAAAACTCAGTGTTACAAAAAGGATGGATGATATTGACATCATGTATCTGTTCAGAACAGTTTAAATACTAAAAGGAAAATAACTGATGAATTCCATTCATCAAAATGTGGCTTCACAATGTTTGAAAAGAAACACCTCCTGAGCTTCTATTTTGTTTGTTTACCTAAGTAATTTTAAAATATGCCTTTTCTGAGTAAGGGTGATAAACATTAAACACCATATAAATAATTGTATTTTAATCATTTTAATTCCAGATTGCTATGATGGTCAACATAAATGAGGGAAAAGAATAGTGATGGGGGTATGAGTGTGGTGTTGCACATAATCAGTTAACATACTTCAGAAGTTGGAATTTCACAATTTCACAGAGGTTTTGTTCACCATGTCACCTAGTAAGACTGACACAATGCTTTTTCTAAGAATAGCAGAATTACTGTAGGAAAGAAAGTTGGGTTGCTGCAGAATGGACATTAGTCTTGGCACATTCAGTGAACAGCACAACAGCCAGAACACCAAAGAATTTCCTCTGAAAGGCCAAAAAATACTGCAAGAAGTCATAGGATCCTGAAACATTCAGTTCTGAACTGTTTCCTTTATGTGGAACAGTGTTCCACACTTGATAGTTTTGAAAACATCCAGTGTTGTGTTTTGAGAATCATGGAATATGCTCTTCTTGATAGCAACTATGCTACCCCAAAATTAAATGAAAATCTTTGCATTGGTCAGTATTGAAATTATTGTAATAAAACAAAAATGAAAAGTAGCTCAACAAAATTAAATAATTTATGTTTAGCAAGTCTCAGAAAATGTCCAATGTCCAATTTAAATCATAAGATCTCTAATCTCTGTTATGACTTACAGCAAACAAAAAGGTTCTTTTTCCTAACAAAAAGCTGTTTATTTTAATTAGCTAGTTCCAAAACCTTATATTAAAAATTTCAATATCCCTAATTTGTTTGGTCCCTTGATTCATTTACAGCTCTCTTGGTTCAAAAATCCATTCAGCATTTTGCCATTTATTTCAAATTCTTAAACTTACAGTTTCATTATCTTCAGAAATAAAGGTAGACTCAACAGTTGGCTTTTTAAAACTTGTTATACTGAAGATTTTAATAGCCCTAAGATAGTTAAATAGGCAATTCCTGAAAACGACTAGAAGGAGATTAGTGTTCTTTAAAAAGCCCTGCTGCAGTAATGAGCTTGATGATCAATTTTTCTCCTAGCACTAAAAAGACCACTGTCTCCTCATGGAGAATAGCCACCCAGGGGACAGGTGGACAATCCCCTATCCTCTCCTTATCCAGAAAGTTTTTGAAGAATTAGTCTATTCACTGATTCTTCAATCTTTGTCATAGTTGTTGTCACAGCTTCACTGTCACAGCTTCACTGTCCATGAAGATGTGTTTAGCTTGTTATTGCTACCAGAAATTGAATTGCAATAATATCAAAATCTTGTAAGATTTCCAGTGGGACTACAGCAGTCCATCTGATGACAAGATAATATTTTAGTCCATCCCTTCATGAGTTTATGATTTTGGGGTGTGTGTGCTCTGGTTTGAACGTATTTGTGTGGACGGCTTCTGGAAGGCAAATTACTTCTATTTCCATTTTCAAACCCACTCAAACTCCCAAAATGTGATGAAATTGCACTACCATAATGGGATCATTTTGCTGTCAACCTTCAACAATCTGCAGGTTTCCTAGTCTTGTCTTACATGATAACACACATAATGGCTTATCACTAGTTGTGGATTTTCTTTATTCTTCACGAATAGCTACTGTAAGGCAACTTGGAAAGCAATGTTACCACGGCATAAACATTTGTATCATGAATAGAGAGAAGGAAATGAGGGACTGCAAATGTTAAGGCCCCTAGATTTGTTACATCACTTAAAATTTGGAAGACAAAAACTGTGGTCCTGGTGACCAACCCCGATTGGATCATGCAACATTATCCTGGGACATGTATATTTGCCTTCATTTGAGATATTACTTGTAGTTTAATGATAACAGCAAACTAAAATAAAGTAACTGTTAAAATACAAGGAAAGAAAGTTCAATCATAAAGAATATAAGTGTCAGTAAAAAACATTAAAACTAACAATAATCCAATATTTTATACATTGACATATCTATAGTTAGAGAACATTACAATCTGGATTGCCATAAATTTTATAGATAGATAGATGATAGATAGATGATAGATAGATGATTGATCGATGACAGACAGACAGACAGACAGACAGACACACACACACACACACACACACACACACACACACACCAAATTGCCCATCGTTAAAAAGGAAAGGATGAGATAAGGGCCCCCATTTCATATCAGCAATCCTTTCAGCAATCCTATACAAATTTACCTATTTTTTGCTACTAGTAGCAAATTAGAAATATGTTCTCCATCAGCATGATTATTCCGCTGGCCAAAAGGAATATCAAGAAAAGACTTTTCTATCATAGGGCTATTGAGATTGGGAGAATCATCTATAGAAAATTTTATTTATGGGGAAATATCAGAAACGTCTTCTAAGGCAGAGGAATCTGAAAAAAAATCAATTCTAAGAATAAGAAATAGTTGTATATTAAAATGCACTCAGAAACATTAATTTTATATATGTTAAACATTACTCTCAGTTGTACTATCTTTATCTCAAGATACTAATGAACAAGGGAAAATATTAAAGCTACTCAAACTGTAGGCTTAAAATACTAGCTTGTTCCAATAATGGTACACAGGGTGATCATTCATGCCAGGATAGAAAGAAGGTTCACGTGCAAATCAAATGTAAGCTATTACTTATAATTTTAAGTGTGATTTATTGATGACTCTGTGTTTCAAACTTATACCTTAAAAATGGGAAAGGAGAATTTAACGTTATTAAGATGCAATAACCAGAATGTGGCTAGTCAGTTTCACAGAAACTAACAGCTATCGGTTTATCAGTGGAACAAAAATGGAATAATAACATATTATGCTTGACCAATGATTTGCCCTATGGCCTTGTAATCAGTGAAGAAATGGCAAGTAAATTTCCCTAAGCCATACTGAAAGAGTCAAATGTTAGTAGCATTTAGGCATCCCCAGAGAACATATATATTGCTTATGTGACTTACAGAGGAGTTGCAAATGAAACAGCCAGGGGAAATGATTGCATTTTTTTCATGAAAGAGAAGCTCTCTTCTAAACTAAATGATGGAAATGGCTTCACAAGACAGAATACAGAGTGACAAGAAGAGTTCAATCTAGGCACTCACATGCTCAAAACTGAATTTATAGGAAAATCTCAAGTAAACTAAAATAAAGAATAAAATTGCAGCATTGGTATCCAATGCTAATACAGTATAGCATCTGAAAGACATTATTCTATTGTGAGTTTACAAAAACTATTATCTAACAATATCTAACAATATACCGGTATATTTTTTCTCTGCTATACTGGTAGTCCTTAATGTATGACCATAACTGAGTCCAAAATTTATGTTGCTAAGTGGGACATTTGTTAAGTGAGCTTTGCCTCATTTTACAACTTTTATTGCTATTGTTGTTAAGTGAATCATTGCATTTGTTAAGTTAGTAAACCATTTCTAAGTAGATCTGGCTTTCCCATTGACTTTGCTTGTCAGAAGGTCACAAAGTTTATCACATGACCCTAGGACACTGCAACTATTATCACATGATCCTGGGACACTGCAACTATTATCACATGACCCTGGGACACTGCAACTATTATCACATGATCCTGGGACACTGCAACTATTATCACATGACCCTGGGACACTGCAACTATTATCACATGACCCAGGGACACTGCAACTATTATAAGTTCCAACTATTATAAATATGAACCAGTTTCCGAGCATCTGAATTTTGATCATATGGCCATGGGGATGTTGCAATAGTCACAAGTGTGAAAAATAGTCATAAGTCCCTTTTTCAGTACCGTTACAACTTTGAACAGTCACTAAACAAACTGTTGTAAGTCAAGAACTACTTTTATTGAGCTGAAATCACTATGTGTATAATTTTTAGGCAATGAATTACTTGGAGTATTAATGTGAAAAAAAGACACCCAAGTATTTATTTTGGTTATTTAATAAAACAAATTATAACTCTTCTTTGAAAATACTCCAATAACATGAGGAGGGAAATTAAGGTAGGAGGAGTAATAGAAAAGTTCTAGAGAATTGCACTGAATGTTTTCGCTTAGTTTCTTTTAATTTTCCCCAATTATGTGACTGTTGTCATTCAATTTGAGGGAAAAGAACATGCACTCAAGGGAGATTTTCAAAGAAAACAAGAGTTTTGATGAAATTCTCCTCAATCTTATTGATGAGATATAGCATCCTGCCTGAATTTTGAAGCAACTCTGGCTTGTGTTACTATCCCTGCTTTTACCACCCAATCCTCTCTTCTCTGATACAATATGTAGTAGCCAGTTCTCATGCCTCAGTTACATTCTAAGGGAACATATAGGAGAGTTCAGAAAGTGCAGATAGAGAAGGAATCTGAAACATGATGGAAAAGATTGAAACAAAAACAAAAAATTCTTTGGGAAACTGGAAAAGAGATTTCAATATAGTATTAACTTAAATAATCCAAAGGCAGTAAGGTTTACAACATTGTAAGCAAATGATGGTATAGAAATATTGGGCAAAGAAATTTAAAAACAAAGCTCTATAAAGTTCAACTTTTTCCAGCATAAAACAGCAATGTTTGCAACTTTTCCTTCACATTCCTCACTAAAGAAAGAAAACGTATTTTCAATTTCAACTAAAGTTCCTGTAAAATATGAAATTTTTGTCCCAGTAGCTACAATTTAAGCATAAGAATAACAATACCCCAGTAACGACAATTTAAGCATAACAATTTAAGCAGTAACTACAAATTAAGTAAATTAAGAACCATGGTGGAGCAGTAGTTAGAATGCAATACTGCAGGCTACTGCTGCCTGCCGGCTGTCTGCAATTTGGCAATTC